GTTACAAATAAATTAACAAATCCCTAGACAGTCGTGCACTTGAGATAAGGTTTTATTCTATGATATGTATACGAGATTGATGTATGAAACCTTATTTTATACATGACCAGTGTGTAAATAATTTAAAAATGTATCATTTCCCAATTTTTTTTCACTCGATTGCTCTGCGCTACTGGGCCATCGCGATCGTCTCGGTCATATCAACTACATTCTCTTCCATTTCTTCCACATATTTCTCCGTTTCCTGGTCGTTGTTGTTCAAAGACGCACCTTCCACCACTACACCAACATACGACGAACTGCTGCTGCTTTGCTTTCAGTTGTGCTGCTGCTATTCTTCGTCGTGGTGTTGCTTCTCTTGTTCCTTCCGGGTCTTCCGCTTGGGGCAGGAGTTCATCCGATGCACCTCCGTATTTCAAAGGAAGCATTTATTCTTATTACCGTCTTAACATATATTCCCTTTCCGATTGATGAAATGTAGCTAGGTGTGAATTTCCATATTCACATCCATGTACACACCACGTACACCTGTGTACATGTCTAAGCACAGCTTAACCGCAAATTTCTCCCGGATGACACTTTTACTTTCCCATATTTCCCCAGGCTGGGTGTCTACTCAATGAAGATCAGCAAATTCCCTGATTTTCCAGAAGATTATCCCAAAAAAATTCCAGGTACAGTACCTAGTACGTCTTTGGCAGGACTCATCAGCTTTCCTCAGATATGTACCAACCGGTGAACACTCGTGTTTGTTTCAGTTACCGTGGGGACGTAATTTGTGATTAGCCCCGGTCCCTTTCAAATTGTATCATTATTTATGTACGGTCCTTATATTTGAAATGACGTTTCATATTCATCTAGGGATGGCCGACTTTCATTCGAATAATCGATTAATCGATTAACGAACCGAAAAGTAAAATATTTGTAATCGGTTATATAATGCCGATATAAGCATTGGCATCTCCAGAGGGTCATCACCGATCGTTTCAAACATGTGCTGCACTCTCATTGGTGGAAAAATGGTAGTACAGTGAACAAAAAAAATCGATTAGTTGTTAATCGAGTAATTAAAAAATAGGACATCTCTGATTTTGGTGTGATTGTTTTGATAAAAATGAGCGCAAAATTTCATCTCTACTGAGGGGGCAGCAAAACCACAAAATTACCTTGAATACGGGGGGTATTTATTGGATGAAAGGGACCGTGAAAGAGGACACTAAAATAGAAAGCTTTTCTTCCGACAGTTTCATCTTAGTATTCATCTTTGTATGTACCAGTGTGACCCATGAAAAATGGTCCAGTACAATCTCAAATTGAGTAAAGCGATCGATACATTTTATAGAATGCAAAAAAGACAGAATCACGTGTTGCCAAAAACATGCACCGCAATTTTCTTTAATTCACAAATTTTAAATGTGGTAAGCGCCAGATTATAAGTGCAAGCAGTAACCGGGATGTTACTATGATTGACAGCGATGTGTGAAGGAAACTGCAACCTACCGAGATGGTTCTACAAAAAAGGCTTGCATAATCGCATACAATTTTCAGCAATTTCCGTGATCCGTTTCTTACCTCGATTTACTCCATGATACGAGAAGAGGTCTTTGACATGGACATTTTCTCATCCTTAGAAGTCCTTTTGCAACTGTTTCCGAATTCCACGCTAGGGGCAGCAATTCACTCAGTTCTGCTACATCTTGCATATGAAACACTTGTCTTTAATCCCATTATAATTTTCTTTTTCTTTGAGCTTGTTGTGACCCAGCTTCACAAGAAAACTATTCCGGATTATACGCTTAACCAATTGCTAATCGATTGAAAATCGTAAAAGCAGCGCTTTCACCTCTAAAATTCTGTAAGTTAATTCCATTTCAATAGTAACAACATGACAATATTAAAACTTTAAAGGTTTACAAAATGCATAAATGACGTAGCATTTTAGGGTGACTTTCCTGAGATGTGCTTTAATTATAGGTTGCTTAGGCTGTGTTCCATTTGATGATTTTTCACTTCAATTTGACGCTTCGAAAATAAATTAATATGCGCGAAAATCCCTTTGTGTCTGTCAGCAGGTTCATTTGAAAATTTTCCATCTGTCAAATTTAAGTTAAAATTCACCAAATGGAACCCAGCCAGAACGAGTTTGGTATGTTCAGTTAATGTTAATTCTCAATATTTGAAATCTTTGATACCTACTTAGCTGTTCAGTATATCTTCCAAAATACAGGTATTCCATATCGTAACTGGCCTTGTTCACTTCTGTTGATGTTGACCTTTCTATGCATATTTATTTCACTCATCCTGTTCCTTGGGGGTAGCCTGTTCTAAAAAAAAATCGACATTTACAATTTTTGAAGATTCCGGGTGAAACATCTATTAAGAGACGCCAGTTTGCAACTCTAATTAAAAATTAGAAATGAACAACTATCCTCAAACTACACCGAGTAATTAAGTTGTTTGAAACTAGCGAGGTCAGTCATAATTATTAGTAAGTTTCGCTGAATTTGAATTAAATTCCCTGAGTCTCCCTGATTTTCCAGGTCCAAACATGAATTCTCTGATTTTCCCTGATTTTCCAGGTTTTCCAGGTTTTCCAGGTAGTCGACACCCTGCCAGCACACTAACCCTAGCGCATGGTCACAAAGGTCCGGTGTAAAGCCATATTGAACGTAGTCCCCTGCATGTGAAATGCTGCTGCTTTTCCAATCGCATAATGGGACTTAATCTTCCGAGTTAAAAGTCAAGGCATGGAGTATCGCTTCTTCTTCGGATTTAAACTTTATGAAAAGTCCTTTCTCCTTCGCAATCCGATAAGGAGCTTCCATTTGAATCGGTTCCACATCTACTGATTTCACGAAATTGACAATTTCACCCATGTTTGGTTGTTCACTTCCATTGCTGAAGCTGAACTTGATGGTATTCTTTATTTCACACATGTCGCTTCTAACGGCAGCGAAAAAAGCGACCGAGCTGCTGGCAATGAACAAAGCGCAACTTTTAGGGTGGTCAGTGAGTGTTCATTTTACAATTCCTGTTTTTCCCGTTTTTCTCGGTTCAAACGAACCAATATAAAAATCCGGGAAATTTATTAGATTTGAACCGAAGACAACAAATCAAGAAGACTGGCAACTATTCCATTTTTTCATACGAACGCTATGAGACAGGTACAATTGCGTCATCTGCAGCTCAAAGGTAAATGCTTCGAACGAATTTGATTGCAAATATTACATCCACAGAAGAAGGGTTTGTGTATTTGCTGATTTTTCTATGCGTTGCTTCCATCTTCACTCAAGCGCAGCGCCATTGTATCTGTCGCTTGGATTCTGGCAATGTTGCCAGTCTTCTTGATTTGGTGTCTTCGGTTCAAATCTAATAAATTTCCCGGATTTTTATATTGGTTCAATGATTACATTTTTTGAAGACCTGATCAAAAACCTTTTTTTTAATTTATTGGTGAGAAAATTATCTTTAGTAGCAAAACTAGAGGAAGCATTTTTCAAAGCAAAAAAAATACTACATGGTTCCCTTAATATATTAAAAAACGAACCATCAATCTTAATGATAATGTTTTGATAAATTCATTAATTCGTTCATCCCACAATAATGGACATGCTAATAATAATTTCTCGTAACTATTCTTAACTGTGGGAACTGTGTGTGTGCTACCGAATTGCAAAGGGCGATTGATTTATGACATTGTTTTAGAAATCTTGAACATGAAACAAATTAAATCTAGGGGAAAAAAGTGAATCTCGAATCAAGATAATGTTGTTACACTACATTTCTATATGAATTTTTAAAATTATGGGATTTAAGAAAATTTCTTTCATTCTGAGACATTTACATTTGTTTAGAGTTTAAGACTGAAACATTTTTTTCGAGGTTTAAGACTTTGTAACATTTTCATAATCCTAGATATAGAAAAAAATTGCATCAACAATCTAAGACGGAGAAAATTACTCAAAATGAAGAATTTTCATTTTGAAAAATCTTTAAGATTTGAACGAAAAAATCATTTTAATCAATCCTGGAAAATATTCAAGGCTCTGGGACATGGAACAATTTTCATGTTTCAAACAATTTAAAGAATATAGAATTCCCAAGCAACATTACATGTTTTATCGAGGTTTTAAAGCATTCTACAAGTCTAAACTATGGTCGACAGAACCCTCATAAAACCATAATTATTACTTGGGTTCTGACGTAAATTCGTATAGAATTTAAAGTTACAAATAAATACTGAAAAGAATTCTAACAATTTTCGGGGGTCAGAGGTATCAGTCTTGTTTCTACACAGCAACTGGATTTTATGGATAATGCTAGTTAATATTTTCACAACAGTATGTCCGTTTGAAATTCCAGACTCCATTATCTGAGTTATAAAATTCTCTTCAACACTGTTATCAGATACTAGAGAGATACTAGTGTCATAAACTTACCGAATGTCCAAAAATTTTACCATTGACCATCAGCTCAGCTTTTTGACCGGTCATGAAACGATCATCTCTCTGTCTCTGTTAACATTTCGTAACTGCACCGTGCAGTCACCACGCCAATTCCCAGCAGCACTTGAAGTCACGTGATTCCGCACATCGTGATCGCGCGCGCAATCGAACTCCGCTCTACTTGCTCCTCATCCCTGCAAGAGAACAGCGAGAAAAATCGGAAAATTTCAGAGTCAAAGAAAACGATCCGTTAACATCACGTGTTTGTCTTCCTAATTGCTCTCAACAATTTTCCCGAACATTTATGAGTGAAACGCCGATGGTTCAATAGAAAATATACACAGCAGCAGGAAGCAACGCTTGTTTCGGCGTATTCGTCGACTATGTGTACGGCATTTATTTGTTTGAATGAGAGTCGAGGTTATTTTTAAAAACAAACACCGAAACGAGATCACTCAGGTATATATCCTACTGGCAGTAGAACAAATCCGCCCGCGGAGAGAACATTCATCCTGCTTATTCGATCGGAAAGCATCGCACACCATCCATCCATCAACAACCAGGTCGCAGGCAGTTCAAGCCCGAACAGAGACGGGGAAGCAAACAAATCGGTCGATCAGAAATATTTACTTTCTTCGTTTCGTGATTGGTAGTGATTGTTGTGTTTAAATTTTCAACAGTGCCACCGAAGGGTAACCCCGTAACCTACTATTGAGATTAAACCGAACCCGTGTGTTAAAGCAATGACAGTATGGCGCTAAGAGTGACGCGAAAATGTTTAGTCTATTCGGTGGTGGCAGTGATCGTCGGAGCTGCGGTGCTCGCTACGGCTCTAGTGCTGATCCTGCGGGACGACGAAGAGATCATGAAGAGCTACAAGTTCGGCAGCAGGGATTTGGTGATCCAGCTGGAGGAACAACCCGACCATCGGTACGTGCTCAGTTTGATCAGAGGTGAGTTTTGTGCTGGAGAATGTGTGTTCGATTGGCTGTTGAAAAATGGATAGAAGTGATAGAAGAAACGGCCAGGCTCGCTGCAAGATGCAATGTTCTGTAACTCAATTCTAGAAGAACATTTCAAAAGGTTCCATCTGATTTAACCTATTCCCACAATCGAATCTCTCATTTTATAACCACGGCTATGTACGGCAAATACAGCAGATAATAACCCATATTCTTGTATTCGTTTGAACCGTTCAAACCCTACCAATGTTGCGTGTGTGGTTACAATGGCTCGAACGAAAACAAGAATATGGGTGAATGGTTTTCAGATGAGTTATTAACGAAAGAGAATCGATCAAAGCAGATAGCACCTTTCGAAATGTTCACCTAGAATTAAGTCAATGATGAGAGTTTCCTTTTTTATTAGCGCCAAAATATTGTCAATAATGAAAAATTTGATTTCGTGTTTTAAGATTTCAACCAAACAGCAGCAGATAGATTCATCGGCAACATTTGTCAGGAAGGTTGTGATTTTACTCAGAATATTCCATTGATTATAACAATTTTAGTGAGCAGCGGCCCTGTATTGATGAACCCACTGATTATTGTTCAAAATATTTACATGCAAATATTGACGTGAAAATATTGATAGAAGTTTTAACGAAATGGGTGGTGGGTGCACTAATGTCATTGTAATTGTTCATACTCAGAAGCTATACCCGATCTCAACAAACTCTACCGAAATCAGAACAGCTAAACTACTCGGTAAGATTTTGGCATGGCACAATTGTATTAAGCAACTTTATATCAAGCTCTTTTCAATAATTGCAACATGTGAATAATGCAGAATAAGTTTAAAATTGTTCTAGAGCCAAATTTGTTTTGTAAGGAAGGTTAAACCATAGAGGTAACTCTAAGACTAGAAGGTCTCGATGAAACGTGCTCAACTTTTTGGCTCAGCTCTGGTACTGTCTTCGGTCCCAAGCTAATCGATGCACCCCTCGAAACATAGAAAACTCCACGAACCCCTCATTTTATCTGTCAAACTTTCATAGCGAATAAAAAAAAACATAGTGTAGTACTAGAATTTCGAAAAGAATGGAGTCCGATTTGCTTGGGACCACTAGGCTAGTCAAGCAGTGAGCCAATTTAAAATCGATAGTTTCGCATTGATTGTTGGTCAAACTATCACCGAACAGCTCAGCCGCTCTGAACATTTCAAGTGTGAACAATATGCTTTCCCTAAGCGGTCCCTCCGCGTTCTACCTCTGTTAACCCAAAAACCTAAAGCTGATTCAAAGATTATAATATAGAGCGTATAAAATAAAATATCCACCTGCACTGTATTGTCCATTCAGACATCATTAGACCCTAACCCACTTACTTAGGCAGACTTCAGAATCGTCCAGTGTGCAGTGCGCTCTACACTCCAAGTTCCCTTTTTTTTCAAATTCACCCTAAATTTGATATTTCACCCCTTTGAGTGTTTATTAATCACAATGAAACATTGTGACAGAGCACGGGCTTGAGATTACTAGAGTATTAAATAATCTAAAGGGTGTCCACGATGAAATTGCCACACTATGAAATTGCTCTAACTTTTTAACCGTTGGGTAGAATTTAATGAAAATTTGGGTGGATTTAGTTCATAGTGCATTATTTACATCCTGCAAGTTTTAAAGTCCTGTGATCAAAACTCGCGGAAATGGAGTCGAAAGAACAGCCTAGGTCCTATTTAGGATTATATCTGAAAAATCTAAATCTGGCCAACGCCCACCAACGAAACTTCTGTCGTAGGTGCACTATTGAGTGAAAATTGGATGACGTCTCCTTCGATTGACTTGAAACTTAGGTAACAAATTTGTTTGTTATCGGCAATCATTTTTGCTCAAATTTGGCCGCATTGAATCTTACCAAAAAATAACATAAAATTAAGTATTTGTTTGTTTCACAACAGGCAGACACAATCAATTATGGACGACGTAATTGTTCGAGACACAGTACCGACAAATCCGGCTCGAAGGACCAACATATTAACGCACATTTAGCTGGACAAATGCACTGATTTCTTCTCAGGTGGACAAACGAATAGTTGCAATTGTTCTTTGTGACAGTCTGTTTATTGAACATGGTAACGAAACACTTATCTTCTGGTCAGGTATCCCAAGTAACAATTTGGGTTTTATGAGGGTTCTGCAGACTATGATTTAGACTTGTAGAATGCTTTAAAACCTTGTCAAAACTTGAAATGTTACTTAGGTATGCTTCACTGGACTGTATTTAGGACTAGAGACTACAGATGACTTAAGACTAATGGATAATGGTTAAGAGAGTGTTTAGTGGTTTTATAGTCTCCCGAGACTGTCTATTTTGGCGGGAGACCCGATTTAGTGCCGAACATTATTAAAATGGAATCTCGTTTGTTTCTAGAGCAATAGAGGACTGCTCGAACAAGGCTCTAGACAGTACTAAGATAATGAATCTTCTGCTTAGTGGCACAAACGGTATTCGATATTTTTCAATAAATCATATCACGAAAACATCACTTCTAATCGAAAAAAAAAACGTCTGAGACAAAGTTGTAAGAAAAAATAAAGTATTTCTAGGGAAAAAAATGAAGGTTATAAAATATTACCAATTGTTGGTAAAAAATCGAAAAAGTGTTGAAAGCTTAAATAACGAAAATATATTATTTTCAATCATTTTTGAATATTTATTTAGGTAGTAAATAAAATTATTGAAAAATACTAACTTTTGTGAAATGTTCAAATTGAACACTAAGCTTAAAAACCGTTAAACAATAGCTTTTGGTCAAATTTAAAACTTTGTATTTACATTTTTGTAATTTTTGCACATACCTAGTATGGAAGAATTTCATGCCAACTCGACTATGGAGTTGGCAGCACCCTCTCAGATTCCGATGAAAAATTGTGGGTGTAAAATTGTTGTCTACTCAAACAACTTTGCATATTTATTTTTCTTTAAAAAAATCTACACAGATAAAAATATTTTTTAAATTATCAACTACCAAGTGGATCAGGTTTCAACATATAAAATTACACGTTTAACTATCTGAAATTAAATGAATTTATGCTGAAATTTACACGTGCATATACATTTATATCGTTGAAAACTAGATCAATTTCAATAGAACTTCCATGAAAAATGAATATATCCAAGCATGTAATATTAATATATCCAAGACAGTGTTAAGAAATAGGATTAGTTAACAGTAATTTCTTACGATTAATGCGAAGACAAGTAAATAAATAAATAAATATATAAAAGTTCAATGCAAATTAATGTATTATTTAATACTTTAACTAATGTTTGTATTACGCCATGCGTAAAGTTAACGAATTACGTAGTTGGAGGTGCTTAACGTCTAACATTTTAAATGTTTTGACATTTTTTTATCATATTATTTTCTACAAATCACTCTTGGACAACATTGGACAAAATTGATAAGTCCTGCAAAAATATTTTCAAAAGATGATGTATCAAAAATTGGATGAGCATTAATAAGAAAATAAAAGAAAATTAATAAAATTACAACACTGAACAAAAATTAGATGAATATTTTTAATTTAATTTTCTCAAAAACTCAATTTTTTTAAAAACTGTTTTTTTTTCTACAGAAAGACAGACCATTTATCTACAAATCGTCTATACATCTCAAGATAGGCACTTTTAAAGGGAAAACTTATTCAACAAGAACTGTTTTGTGTTTTCACTGAATGAAATCTAAGCAGATTAACTTCATACCAAGCGGTTTATTTTCCTCCAAACCAGGGTCTTACACTCAATGCGTAATGTACTGATTTTCTGAAATAAACAAAGTGAGAATCAAGCAAACACAAAGTTTGCTTGTCTTTCACCCTGCGCAAGTGTAAAGCAGCGGAGAAGAGAAGACAGAAGACACACAGAAATAACGAAAGCTCAATGTATAGCCATCGTTTCGAGGGCTCCGACGCAAAGAGCGCCACTCAGTTGCACATGGGAAACCCAGCAAAAAGACAAAATTCTTCTTCGTTATGCCCTTCTTCATCTCCTAAGCATGCAGTCGTGGTAAGCTAAGTCTGCAAACAACTCAAAGAAGACATTACTGCTTGCTGTTTAATATTCGCTCCCTGCGCCGCACGGAGTGTACCGCTCATTGTGTGGATCGCTTTCTCAGATTACTTGGAAAAGAGTGTGCGAAGTTAATGGGAGAACCACACACTCTTTGCCGACTGTTGTCAGATACATGCACAAAGTTGCTTTGCTAACACTCTGAGGTGCTTTCCAGCCCTGCTCTTATATAAAAAATCCATAATCGAACGATAACCGAAATGATAGAATTGCTCCACGAATGGTTTGGATGACTATTACGTTTTTATTAAGGCCATTTCCAGATCAGGAAAAAGCTTGCTGTTTTTGATAGCATTGAAGCCTTAGACGTTAAGCTAAGTGTACAATGCTTTTTTTTTTGAGTGCAGGAATACGAAATTACAAAATATCGAGAGATGCCTTCTTCTACAAACACTGCATCGAATTCGACTCCACATTCTCCAAACAAAAGGTAACATGATCTCCACTGGAATAAAACATGGTAGACATCTGATTTAAAATAATTCTACATAATATTTCTTGGCCTTATCGAACAAAGTACAAACGTTTGGATGTTCCGTTGAATTGGAATATATCTTAGCTGCAATTTGATTATCGGTAGTGGGCTTAAAACGATGCAATTTGTGTTTACCAGATATTGTCTTTGCGTCGTGAAACAAATCTTCTAGAGTTTCTGAATTTTACTCGTGTTGCTCAGTAGATAGGGGAAATGGATGTAATGTCCCTAATTTGGGCCCATACATAAATTCAGCAATCGCCTAATTTTTAATGTCGACCAAAAATATCTATTAGTACCGTCATCTAGATAAAATTGATAAATAGCAGATTTTTTATCGATGGGCCCAAGCTTACATACGCCAACATAAGAGCCATTTCCCCTATAAAGCAGATATTCAATGTTC